AGAGTACATGAGTACAAATTCTTCAAATTCTAGACTTTTGGACCTAATACATAAGAGTACATGGGTGTACTCTCATGTATTGGGTCTAGAAGTCTAGAATTTGAAGAATTTGAAGAATTTGTACTCATGTACTCTCATGTATTGGGTCCAAAAGTCTAGAATTTGAAGAATTTGTATCATGTACTCTCATGGGTATGGGTGTAGGTGTGAGTGTGGCCAATCGTATATCCACACCTACACCCACACCCCTCTACACTCTAAAAAAAAAGGTATTCCCGGAAACCGGCCGAAAAAGGTTTCCGAAGGCTCGGAAACCCATTTTTTACCCTCGGAAACTTTTTAAAGGGTTTCCGAACCTCGAAAACCCATTTTTTAGCTCTCGGAAACCCTTAAAAGGTTTCGTATAGGAACAAACTCGGAAATCGTTATCGGTTTCCGAACTTCGAAAACCCTTTTAGGTTTCCGGGTTTGTTCCTATACGAAACCTTTTAAGGGTTTCCGAGAGCTAAAAAATGAGTTTCCGAGCCTTCGGAAACCTTTTTCGGCCGGTTTCCGGGAATACCTTTTTTTTTTAGAGTGTAGACTTTCTGACCAATACATGAGAGTACATGAGTACAAATTCTTCAAATTCTAGACTTTTGGACCTAATACATGAGAGTACATTTGAGTACATGAGTACAAATTCTTGACGTTTGGACCCAATACATGAGAGTACATGAGTACAAATTCGTCGAAGTATTCGAATTCTGGACTTTAGGTGGTGTGTAATTCAGAGTACAAAATGTACTTGTATTTGTGCAGCCCTCGATTCATACCAAAGACCGATTAGTCACGTTTTTTTTTGTCATTTCTCAAGATTAATGTAAACTAGGAAGACGTGTAGAATATAAAAGCATTTATATGACGATGGTAAATTATAAATAGCATCAATAGACAATTTTCCATCTAGATATTGAGATTCTAGAGATACATATTTATCAAGATCGAAATATAATTGTAATGATGATGATCATCTTGCTAACATCAATAAGTACCAATGAGGACATATTCATAAATGAATCTACTCATTTGACATTAACTAATGAAGAATTATTAATGATCGAAAGCTGTTAAAAACTATCAGAAACGTAGATCAAATTTGTTCAGTCATATATTCGTCTAACATTTAATCTATTTATTATTGTTACAAAAAAAAATTAATAAATGGCTTGTTAACAACACATGATTTACAATAAACAATATCAAATGCATGGGTTAACAAACTTCAACGATCAATGGCTTATCCTAAAAATAAAATAAAATAAAATCATATTTATTGAGAATATTACATGCGAACAGGGGTGTCCCGACCGGAGGGTGACCCCCCCCCCCCCATTTTAAAAAAATTTTTTTTTTCCCCAATAAAATTTCAACATTTTTTCGGTTTTTTTTTTTCCCCACCCCCCCAAAAAACCCCCCCCCCCCCCCCCCCCAATCTTGGCAACCTCGGGACACCTCTGCATGCGAAAAAATTAAATACTTTAAATTAATGTAACAGCTTAATTTACGAGTAGAACCACCAAAAATTTCAACTGATTTATAAGATTTCCAGCTGTTACTTGTTTTCATATTAAAATAAATTGAGCAAGAAAGTGAATAACTCTTGTAAAAGTGCATCCCAGGCAACGTTAATAAGTTTCAACATGAGATCTTCAATTAACCCTTTCAATCCCGCCATTTTCTTGCGTTCAGCTACCACACTCATGTTTTTGAATTCTAGATTCATTATTCGTATCCATACGAACTAATATTCATTTGAACATATCATATGATATTCGCCGTCTAAGAAGACGAAAGAACGCAAAATGTTTCTTTTTCGTTCAGCATGTCATCTCGTAGATGCCATGCGGGATTGAAAGGGTTAAATATGGAATTTCATCTGCATAGCCAAAACCATCTATAACACAAAAAGAACAGAAAGAAATTATTTTTAAAATTAAAATTTCCATCTTTTTAGATTTTCTTTATCTAATTTCTCTTTTTTTTTAAGTATACCCCTGAATAAAATTTTTCTCACTTCCTCGTTTTTATTTCTTCATTAAAATATTTATTATTGAGATTTTTGTCGATCGAAATAATGAAATCAGTTCTTTTTTTTCTATAATAAGCGATGCAAAAGTCTTTGGACAAATGTCGAACCCTATTAGACTATAACACCAACTTTTGAACAAATCAAATTTCTTTGGTTGGAAAGAGTAAAGTGTGAAATACAAATTCTATTGGAGACATATTTTTCCAGAATCAATTTAAGAGAGAGAAAAATTCCTCTTTCTAACAAAAAAAAAATTTTATTGGTTCAGATGTTTCTAATTTGGTCTAACAGAGTTTGATATTTGTTCAAAAATTTTTAAATCGCTTATTATATAAAAAAAAAAACTTTATCTTACCAAGAACTTTATACAAAGCAATAACTAAAAAAACGTTACATTTAGAAAAATTATCATAATAAAAATTATATCAACTTACTAAATAAAATAACAACCAATAAAATTTTTCTTTTAATTGATCGTGATGTTGAACTTGATGATGATGACGATATTGAAGTTGATGGTGATGATGATGCTGAACTTGATGGTGATGATGATGTAGACCTTGGTGGTGTTGATGCTGTTAACCTTGGTGGTGTTCTATATTGATCATCATCCTCCTCACTTGTAACATTGTCCGTTGCATTTTCCTCTATATTATTCTAAAAAAAATAAATTATTCAATAAATAATTTAAGTTGTGAAAAATTTTCTCAAGTTCTTATTTTACCTCATATAAATCCGAGATATATTGACTAGGTTCAACCATCTGAAAACGAAGTATATTATAAGCATTAAATTATCCAAAAGAATACATTAAAATAAAACTTTAATTTAAAGTAATTTATAGTTTTAAAATAATTTTATTTTTTAATAAATAAAATCTATAGAAAAAAATCATATTACGATAACCAAATTTCAATAATTTCACCATTATTTTTGACATTAATCATTTGTTGATTAATAATATTAATGGGAAATATTTGACGACGTTTTCTAATAATATATTCACGTGTAAAATAATCATCAAGTAATGCATCTTGATGATAATTAATTTTGACATAGGATAATTGTTCTAATTTAGTAAGAAATACTTCAATAATAAATGAACAAATATCAAATGAAAATACTTGTAGTTCAATATGAACAAGTGAAGGAAAACGTTCCACAAATTTCAATATAAAATTTGAAGGAAAATAAATATCTTCAGTAATTGATTTAATCACTTTAATTTGTTTGAAAATTGGAATAAGAGATAAATTATCAATTATTTTTGAATAGAGTAATAATGAAGTATTAATAATAAGAATAATCACATTTGGACATGATCTAAAATAAAAAATATATTAATATTATTTTTCTAAAATATAAAAAAACATACTTTAAAATAAACTCAACATGTTTCCATCGATTAATATGAAATGCTGATAAAAATTCTAATGTAGTTATATTTTTTAAATCAACAAAATTTGATAGATAAGTAAGATTTTCTTGTGCATTGTTATCATTAGTTGTTTGTCGAAAATTAGCTAAATCAAAAATAAAATACATGAAATGGTATACATTTGTATATAATATAAAGCGAATTATTTTAATCAAATTAAAAGATAATCCTTTATTTTTACCTATATTAAATAAATTGTTCCACCATGATGATTTTATTATTGACATTTGTACAAGAAGATAAGTAACATTTTGAAATAAAGGACAAGACCAAGTAACATTTGATTTTTTATTTTGTATATATAATGTTAACTTTGTTATATCAGAATAAAATGAATAATGATCATCAATTGTTTTTTCTGTTGTTCGTGTTTCAAATGTTCTGAAATGAATACAAGGAATATTTATTTTTGCAGTAAATTTGCCTTTGATATAATTCATTGTTCGTAATATGATAAGTTCATCTAAAAGAAGAAAAATGTATATAATAAAAATTCGATATTAATTAAAATTTAGTTTCATATTCTTAATTTAATTATTTTGAACAATTTTATTTACCTTGAAGATGAGAACCATATAACCAACTATCAATAATCATATTCCAATTAGAATATTTTTTAACAAAATAATTAAATGAATTAATAACAAAATCTAAATCTAATTTTGGTTTTCTTTTTGTAACAGTCATATGAAATTCAAAGTTTGATAAATATGAAAGATTTTCTAATATTTGTTGCCATACATATCTATCAAGATATTGATTAGTAAATGGCCATGATGATGTTTGTACAAGAAGATAAAAATAAAAATGTTTAAGATTAGGCATACAATGTAATATAGAAGAAATCGACCAAATATCACAAGATGCACCAATGAGTAAGTTGAAATATGTTAGTTGTGATAATATAGGAAGATCATTTTCATTTATAGGTGATAGATGATTTGAAACACTGAAATAAAAGAAAAATTTTTTTTTTCTCCGATAGAACTATTGCAGTAATAACTTACTTAATATTATTTTCAAATCGTTTATCATGTTGTAATGCAATGCATAAATATCATATTCTATAACAAAGACGAAAAATTTGTAAAACTGTATGAACAGATACAGTTGAAGATGAACCAGATATTCGTAAATGAAGTGATATAAGATTTGAATTTATGAATGTATAATTTGATATATTTAAATACTGATTAGGATATTGAAGTTTAAGTGAACGAAGAGATGATGATTTATTTGTTAGTAATATTCGAGTTAATTCATCATTATTATTTTCATTTAAATCTTTACGATCTGGTTGAATTAATTCAAGTATAACAAGTTTATTAAGATTTCCAATTTGTTTAATGATATTATTAAGTTTAGTCATTGATTGAATTGATATGAATTTACATGATTTTAAATTAATAAAATTATGTCGATTAAATAATAAATGAATTATAGATGAATGATCACGAATTCTATCTAAAATATTTATTGAAATAACTTGATCTTCATGAGAAGTTAAATGAGACAAAAGAAAATCAATTTGTTGACGAGAATTTCCAAATGAAATAACAATATGAAGTGGAATTGATTTTAAAATATTTGATATTCGTTTATTTAATAAAATAAAACCAGTAAATATATGAAGCATATGTAAATAATCAAATATTTCAAAGAATATTTCATTTGATAAATCTTCTAAATGTGTTTTTCTATTCATTTGCAGTAACGATGCTAATATTAACAGAATTGAATTTAGTTTTACTGATGAAAATATGAAATGAACGAATAACGAAAAGAAAAAGTCTTTTATATACACAACAAATAGTCTATGAACAATTTTGACGAGAAAATATAACAAAGACAATTTGATGTATTAGTCTGTTGACATATATATATGAGTCATCCAATCAATGTAGAAATCGATATCCACTAATGTACTTAGTTCGAATAGAAGGTCGGGGTGTGGGTGTGGTGGGTGTGGGTGTATGGGTGTGGGGTGTGGGTGTCAATCTTTTTACCCACACCCACACCCACACCCCACACCCACACCAGGCTAGCCTTCTGCTCGGAGCTCCAGCTAGTCATATGGCACGAAAGATATCTGTATATTGAATCTCGAACTAGACAACACTCAACATCACGATGTAGTTCATAGGCAGGAATGTTCTTCTTCCTTCTTCTCGGCATTGCTCTTTGATTTAATACGAACGACATACATATGCACCATATCAGTATTTGAAAGATCAATAGCACTGATTAGAAACGAAAATTATTTCATCGAAACCAAGTCGATGTTTTATTATTTTGCTTCACACAAAAAGAATCCCATTGGGAAAGGTTTAAACGTATTTATTTGCTTCTAATCGATTTCAAACAAAATGAAGAATAGAATCAAGGATAAAAGTAGTAGTAAAATATTTTTATTTGTCGTTGACGGTTGGTGTTCGGATAGGTCCACCTTGATAGCCTGGCAAAAATGATGGTTCAGGTCCTCTATGACCAATATAAACAGCACGACCATCTGATTCCGCTAAAAATGTAACTAAATGTGGTGGTGTAAAAATGAAAACATCGCCAGGATGGCCTTCATATCGATTTTGTTGTTCATCCATGACAATAATCTTTCCGCTAACTATTGTTTTAACTTCTAAATATTCATAAAAGAAAGGAAAATTATTCGGCGATGGACGCATTTCAAAGTGGCCTAGAGTTAGTTGATTGCTTTGATTACTGATGGGAACATCAATTATGCTCGAATTGAGACCAGGACACATATAAGTTTCACCAAGTGGTACCATGTCAAGTGATCCAGCCTTAATTAGTTGAATGCCTGGCTTTTTCGAAAGCGGTTCGGGAATCGTTTGAGCCATGTTCGAAACAAAAAAAACTATAAATTACACGTTATGTTCTGTACGAGAACTATCCTTTCAAGTGATGAATTGCAAAGAAGAAAATGGAGATAAAAGAAGAAATAAAAAAGCAAAGCTGCATCATGATAATATTTGTTATTCTGTGTCTTATGTTAGTACAGAATAATGAAAAATATCTTGGAAGATAAGAGCTCAACTTTTTTTATCATAAGAAAGAAATAACCTATTTTTAAACAAATAATGTCAATCTGCTATCAAGATCTCGGAATCGACTTTGTACTGTTTCACTTTAGTGTTAATTTCTTCATCGATCGAAGATAATTTTACTTAAAGATATGGGTCCTGGTCTTCTCTTCATTGAGACGCACGATACACTGCTACCAACACCCATAAAATACACGAATTTCAATGTAGTATGAAAAACAACTATTTTCCCCGGTGCTTACTCAGGTAGCGTCACAGTTGCACCTAGTTCTTTCAAATAGCGAATTCAAAACACTGATACTTTAGTTTTAGTACGTCAACATAGTAAGCTACCGTTTTCCATATGAAAATCACAATTCTAAAATGAGTTTTCATGCCATGTGCATCATTTTGATCAATCTTATATTGACTTCTCTCTTAAGCGATGTGTATCCTGATCACATCTCAACTAGTCTGAGGGAAATATTCTATGATCTAGGTGAAATATCAATCTTATTATTTAATAAATATCTCTGTCCAATACGTTTCGTCAAACTGAGACGCTGATTTACGTAAGAGATTCTTGTTTTTATGCTTAACAAGTTGATTCTTTTTTAATCTAAATGATCAATAACATTATCATACATTTTCACATAAATTATAAATACATTTCATGGATGTGCATCCAGATCTTCGATATTGATATGAATACTCATATTATGGTAATTTTATTTGTAATTCAAATGTTGACGCTGAAAATATGGGTGAATCGTTGGAATGAAACTACAGTAAAAACATCATGCTTATGTATGATCTTTTCTCGTTCAATATAATAGTGGCGGAGCCAGAGAGTGGCTGGGGGGCTCAGCCCCCCTCAGAACCTTTGAGCTCCCCCTTGGAAAATTTTTAAAGCATGTATTTTATTCGCCAAGGGGGGGCTCAAAGATCCCTCAGAGGGGGCTGAGCCTCCCTCAGCTCAAAATCCTGGCTCCGCCACTACAATATCAATTATTATATTTTTTTTTCTAAAATCTCTGCCGTTTTTATTTTAATGGACAGGAATTTCTTTGTATGTTAGTGAAATGTGTTTTCGTCGTTTGTTCTTTCTGTTCTTACATCAGAAAGTTACACTAAATTGTGCAGCTATTATCTTAATGAATAGCTTAATGTACCTTTGATGAAAACATCTCCTTACTATTAGACTGTGTTAGCATTAATTTAAAATGTTCCTTTAGGTACATGTAATATTCTGTTTTCATCATGTATTGGTTATATGTTGCATGAATAGATTTATTTTCTCTTCTGTTTTATTAAATGAAGTGAGCTATTTTTATTCTGCAGTAGTACCAAAACTCATTGAAGAAGTTGTGCAAATTAAATAATTATTTCAATTAGAAACTGTTTCTTCTTTTTCCTCGTTTTTGGAGAATCCATAGTTTTCGAGAAAAATCCATTCAATTTCCACACTAACCAGTCGTTCTGAAATAATAGAATAACCAATTTGTCGGTGTAAATAAGCTATGACTCTTGCATTAATCTAAATCTTAAACTAACGTACTTCAGGCTTTCTTTCTATCTGTATGTTGATCTCACGTCTTATTAGTTTGTTAACTGTTGTCCACTGAAGAAAAATAATTTAAATACTAAAAATTCACTTTCTGCTCAATGAAGTACTTCTTATATGGATCTTTTAGTCTAGATTACCTACTACTTGTATCACATATAAAATTATTTGCTACAGTCGGGCCTTATAAAAAAAAAGACATTGTTCACACATTATTTTGCTACGCTTCTATATTCTTTTTTCATTACTCGTAGTTCTAGTGCGATAATCTAATTCTCAAAGAACACCAGTCAATGATGCATTTTAATATTCTGTTTCCTCATGTTTAGCAGAAAAAGGAAAAATAACTTATACTTTTCTGTATTACTTTTGTTGTTTTAAAATGTACTTGATTCAGTATGTTTTTATAATAAATTCTATACACTTCTATCACCTTGAATATTCACATTAGGGATGTTGTTTTAAAGTATTTTATGAAGTTAGAGGATAGTCAATTTTCATTACACGAAAGAGATTTAGAATTTTTGAATTTATTTTCATCTGCATTCTGCAAGAGATTGACAATGTCGAATTTCTGTATTGTAAAAGCCGCTTATCAATGACTGATATGTTTCTAGGATGATGAACACAAGCACATTATCTAGTTTTAACATGATCAGCTAATTTATGAGGAAAGTGTCGGTTTTACTAATTATACCGTTCATAATCTTCATCTTTCAATCATAGTGAACTGGGCAGAAATCAATGAAAAATATCAAAGAGATGATGAAAGAATTGTAGTCGAAAGTTTTGCAAACAATTATCTCTTAAATATGAAAAGAGGAAAAAACCAATACAAAGAGTCTAAAGCTTTGTTCAATAATTTATTTTATATGTCTTACTTCTTTTCAGGCTTTTAGTAGTAAAATTAGCTTTAGATAAAATAATTGAGTTACCAACACGAGAAGCATTGGGTGGTCTATTAAAATCAAATTCTATCACAGGTAAAAAAAATATATTGCTTGATTGCTAGATGGATCCATTCATGATATATATATATATATATATACATATATTGCTGTATGTTATTCTTTTGTAACACATATAATATTTCGTGGAGCACAGTTGATTATTATTCATGTGATGTATAATTTTGTGCGTAAGATTGGTTTCGAATGATTGTATGATTTTTCATAAAACACACATTGGTATGTAAATAGATTTCTCGTACTTTTCTTTTGTTGCAGTATACATTGCCATTTCAATTGAATTAACAATCATTGGCGTACTAGTTACAATCAATATTACAATGAAAATCGCATCTATGAATGCAATATATACTAAATATTTTCTGATATATATTGTTTCTACTTTTAAAATGACAATAGTCGTATGTCAATATTTATTTTTAATAGAAGAATAATGAAAGTTGATATTGATCAATTTCATTTTTATCGACTTTATTTAATGATTCATTTACGAATAAGAAACACGATCAGAATTTTCTTTTCAATTAACTCTGTTATTTCATATAACACTGCTAAACAAAAAAGAAGGATAACTAGAGCGAAAAACAAAGACATCATTATAGACACATAATGTTCTTTATTTCATGATGATTTTTGTTTACTATCATCATATATATATATGTAACTCAAATATGATTCGAAAGCTTTCTCTGCTACTAACATCTCCTATAATCAATATAAGTCAATTTATTTTGGCTTCTCGTATCAGAACAAACAAAACTGAAAGCAGAAAAGAAGAAACGACTGATTTTGTGCAATAAGTACACGAAAACTGACATTCAAAGACGAAAAAAAAACGGCGTAGAATAGTAATGAATTATAGTAATAATAAGAATAAGAATAATAGTAATAACGATAGACAAAAAAAAAAAAAGAAAACTGATTGTTGAATGAATGAGTTGAAGTATGTGTTCATATAAAGAACTATACGCAAAGAATACAATTGTCGAGTCAATACGCCAAGAGTTTGTTTTATAGAAAAGAAAATCTTAGAGATAGAATAGATAAACACAACAAAAAGAAAATAAATATATATATATACATGTAAATTTAAGCGATTGTACAACATGAAGGTACGCAAGCTGAACATGAT